ACTAACTTTATTAACACTCAAAATAATAGAACACTTTCTTTGCATAAACTTAAAGAAAATTAACTATTTACACATTTCAAGATGGAACAACAACAAAAAATGTCAGACAATTTAAGTGACAGAAAGAATGATGCATTATGGTTCAAGGCATTCTTCAACTCTGTGAATACTACTTAACTATAATTATAACCCTAACTATAATCTAGATAAAACTAATAGAAATTAAACAAAATTGAGTAGATTTTTCTTAAAATCATATGTAAATTTCATAATACCTAAAATTAGAATTGTTGCTTCAAATGACAGTGCACTTTTTAGTAAAATTAATTTTAATGTCCAATCTCTTCTTAAACATGACTGTGAAATTTCAAAGCCTAGACTTATTATAATGTAACATTTACTTCAGGCATTTTCAATACCATGCAAACCTTGGATAAAACAAAATAATCTTTTGTTTACACATTTCAAGGTGAATTAACTTAAAAAGGCGATGTCAGACAATTTAAGTGACAGTAAAGATGATGCAATAATTATGCTTCAAGGCATTCCTTTAACTTTGTGAACAATACTTTAAATGCAGATGATGCAATACAATGATGCATACCAGGAACACTTATTAGTGATATTGATGGAACAATTGATAACTGAAATTGAACTTATTATACTGATACAGAATATCATGCAGCTTGAGAGCAAAAATTAAAAGTAACCAGAATTTAAACTAGTGAAGTAAGTCCAATAATTAACAGCTCTGTGGTACAAAATGAACCATATTCCCTGTGTCATTTTATCTCCAAACATACAATTATTTGTAAATTGATAAAATAGGCAACTATAAACAGCTGTGGACCCACTATCCTTAACTATAATCTAAACAACACCATTAAAAATCAAGAAAAGATTGTGTAGGTTGTACTCAAAATTAAATGCAAATTTAAGAATATGTCAAATTCGAATTCTTGCTTTAAATGACTGTGCACTTTTTAGCACAATGGGTCAAAAATTAACTTATGTCCTAAACAATTTCCTTACCTGCTTTAAATTTTCAATCTCTTCTGAAACACGAATGCGTAGTTTCAAAGCCTAGGCTTATTTCATCGTAACATCATTCGCTTGAAACATTCTCTACATCATGTAAAACCTCATATGAAGAAGAGTAATCTTTTGTTGACAGGAATATGCTTATGACAGCACATTCGCTTATATGGCGTCATACGCCTCCGACACGCCTACGTAAGTAAGGCATGCAATATTACGCAGACTTAAAACGGTCAAAACATGGAGGAGATAACGTTTAGATCAGCTATATCAGACCTTTAAGAACCGAAGAGTTAAAAAAAGTCGCTCACCTTTCGATAAAAAGACCAATGATTGCTTTCTTCGAGGGATCGTTGCGGTCGGTGTCTTGTGACGTATCTCTTCTCAACGCTAACCACCTGTATCGGGGAGAAGACGTTTGGAAAGAAAATATTGCGTTAAGCTCAAAAGTTTGCATGCTAAATCCAAAAGCGAGAGAAATCGTCACAAACAAGCAAACGAAATGACAAATTGTACCATTTTCTCGTATTGCGTCATGATTCTTCAGAGAGTTCGAAATCTCGACGGAAGCGACGGCTAAAAATGGATATTCCAAGGCCTTGCTTGAGAAACATCCATTTAGCATTTCTGTAAAAAGATCTTCCGCTGAATTCGCAAATTCACGGCGATGTGAATACGTAGACTTTCAACAGGAAAGACGGTGGACTTTCGTCGTAGGTTCTTTAAAAATACGCTAGCTGTTTTGTTTACAAACGTTACGTCATCGATTTCATTCACGTGCGCCTGCAACCAATCAAATGAAATGCGATCAGTTCATTGAAGGGTGATTGTCATCACATGATATTCTTGTGACTGAGAAACCGATAAAATATTGGCGGGATTTTCCCAACCGCAAACGCAGCACTTTGCCTTCAAGAATTCTTGTGATTCCTTCACGTACCTTTAAATTTAAAGAAAACGCGTAGGTCGTTATTATTCTGCGCGGCGTTCAAAATGAAAATGAAACCGTTCCTGTTCAACTGCTAACGGTGCCCAAGGAAAATTTCACACCTGATGTGTGTTGAGACAGGGCATAAGTTGAGACAGCCCTTGCAAAATGTTAGCAGCCTCGATCCTTCTACATGAGAAATGAAACGAAAATCATACAAGACACTAACGCCGCCAGGCGAAATTCAGAGCAAAGAGTGTAATAACGAATTGGCGTTTCTGAATATTAGGGTAACTGAAGTCCACTCGGCAAAAATTGGCTTGGGTTGAAATTTGCGGCGGTGT